TTTGGCCAGACCTCTCCGCCATGACCTGTCCATCTTGGGTGGCCCTGCACAGGATAGCTCATGGCTTCATTGAGTTACGCAAGCCCCTTCGCCACGACACAGCAGTGATCCATGAAGGGGATGGTTCTCACTAGATTTTATGTATTCCTGGACAAGCTCAGTGAATAGTATTCTTTTATACAACTTGGAACCTTGTTATATCAGAATGCTTCCAAGCAAGAGGAATCCACTAATCCCACCACATGATCTGCTCAGCAATCTTATTTCGCCTTTGCATCATTCTAATGGAGATTGAAGTTTAAGACACTGTGATTTTATCAGAACTTATTATTTTATTTCCTTCACTTGTAAGTGCTTTGGACACTTGACTAGCTAATGTTAAAAGGAAGTTTACTTTTTCACTTTTTCTTTTTTTAAATAAAATTTATTTTAAAACTATACTTTGTGCTTTTGTTCTGTCTCCTCAAAGGGCGGGGGAGGCTGTTTTTCTAAGGCCACATAACTCAGAGCTACAAAAGCCAGGCTACAGTACTGTTGTTCTTCCAGTTTATTGGCAAGTAAGTGCTCAGGCTGTGAGATGTGGTCCCTGACACCAGCTGGTGTTAAAAAGGAAGAGGCCAGGTTGTGGCATTCCCCTCCATCCAAAATAGGTACAGGAAGCCATAAACTACCAGGATGCTTCACCAAGGGAAGAAGGTAGGCTATGTTGCATAAAAGATAGAGGAAGGTTGAGAACCCTCCGTCTTTCATCTGTGCCCAAGCCTTGCTGCTAGGCCTACATAATAAAAACAAGCAAAAATGTTGGACAATTTGCATGGATGAGGTACATTTTTACATATGTGGTAATCATATCTGAAAGTCAGTAAATTTTCAGATATAATATTTCAGAAAATTGCATTAATTACTAATCAAAGAATAAACATATTTAAGTCTTTTCTGATTATTTTCTGGTACAAATGCAAGTAAAAGTACTTGAAAAGTAAAATACTACTAATTTTTTAATCAATGGCTGCTAGGTTAGTAATAGCAAAATATTCAAAACATCTAAAAGGGGCATATAAGAAAAAGTGGTAAGAGAACATATGGTCTATTCCATTAATGGAAATAATATATACATTGAAACCAGTTGCAGATAATAAGGGAGAAAAATATTTTTTTCTGTATGGTATGATTTCACAAAACATTCTAAGAATGAAAACAATAACCACCTACATCATATGATGCAACACTGTGGAAGATATAAATACTATACTCAAACACACAATATTAACATAATTTATAAACTATGTTAATAATATTCTTGCTTTGAATAATATTTAAAATGTATTGATTTGAATTTGTGAAACATTTTAGTTTGTACAGCTGTTATAATTAAGAAACAGATAAAAAGTGACTGGCCAGGGTAATATCAACACCATTCCTTGCCAAAGTACAGATGTACACCAGCACCTCAAGGACAACTATGGGATCTCCCATCTGCTTCTCATGGATGCGTGCCTACCATAACAGAAGGTAATCAGAAAATTCCAAACCTGGTTTGATCTTCTTGACCACAGGTTCACTGCTGTGATCTCGCATTTGTCGGATGTCCAGCAGGTCATGGGGATTCCCATTGTGTGGCGGCCAGTAATACACAAAGACCCGGGACCCACTGCTCCCACAATCAACAACCACTCCATAACTCAGAGCTGAATTCTTTGTGTCTGTTGCCTCCAAGGCTCGGTATCGTGCTAAATACCTGCAAGTCGAAAGGTGATTTACATTGTGTGACAAAATGCGAGAGTAAACACTGAATATGCAGCACAGAAAACAAGCTAACTTTTCATAGATTTTTCTATGGTTCTAGATATCCCCAAAAGACAATTATTCTGGGACTGGGATATCCTTAAAAGGACCATCTATCTGAACAGTGTAGCTAGCAAAGCCTATTTCATTACATTTGTTAGCAAGAAAGTAGCATAAAGAAGATTCTCACCCGATGGTCATACTGATGGAGGCATTGCTTGAAATTTTGAAAGGGGTTTCATGTTTTTGAGTTATGATTATTTTACCACAGGGAATTAATATTTAATGTCAAAATTACTACAGAAGTTATTATGTTAATATGTATTGTTCATTGTTATGTATCTTATATGTGTTGCTGCTAGTGATGTTTTTATTATAGGAAAACATGGGGAAACAGAGTATAGTAAGACTAGAGAGAAGCCAGCAACATTTTATCAGGAATATATCTACATCAAAACACATCGTCATCAGTTTGTCTATAGGAGCAGATAAACATGGCATAAAATATCTTGCAGTAGATATAGACCCTTGGAAGTGCAAGCCAAAAAAATGAGATTTTATCAGAACGTACAAGACCTTGTATAAAGATATGTAACATTTCATTTATTTTTATTATGAAACAAATATACTGCATATTATAAATAGCATACTTCCCATGGCCTATACAGAAGTTAAACACTAGTGCTGCATTGGACCGCATTGCAGAAATTCCAGCACATATCTTGGGCCCTTAATGCTGATGCTCTTCCCCACATTCCATTAACTGAAGAATCAATACAGCCACATTCCTCCCCTCCAAAAAGCAGCATTATTATGATCACTTTTGCTAGTGGGAAAATACAAGCTGAATTTAGTCCAGGCAGCTCCTTCCCACCACTTGGGAGAGAACAAATGCTAATTTCTATCAATAGGAGAATATGGATTGGGGGAAAAGTGCTACAATCATTTCTGATTTTTTTTTTTTTTTAGGTTTCAATCAGTGTTTACATTAGGATAACTTTCTGCCTGACAAGATTAGAGAAAGATCAGGCAGAAAGATTTTATATGACACAAGAAGTGATCATTTTCTTTCCCTATTAATTTTTACAGGAAATCAAATTCTATTCTCTAAAATAGAATCTACAATTCAGAACCTATATTGCACATACATAGTACCTTCAGAAATTGGTTACAAGCATGCAGTGCCTTTATGCTCAGTATGATAACCTTTTGTTTTAGGGCATATTGTTTACATCTCCTTTCTGGAGGACTTGTGTTTCATTAGAGCAATATTGTGCTCAGTTTTTTTCCTCTTAAACTCCTTTTACAATGTATTTTGATGATCAGCTAATTTATAAATGGAGACAATGAAATTTGATTGGGCCCAACTCCTTTTCTCTCAAACAGACTTTACATTCAGGTCTAAGTTGGATTGTAGTCCTAAGCGTACCTACTAAGAAGTAAATTGCATTGACTACAACAGGACTTACTTCTGCATAGATACAGAATTGCTATGCACAATGAATAGAGATCTTCTATAATAAATGAATCCATGTGATTGATTTAAAAATTGGATTTAAAAACCAAAGAGGTTCTGAGGACAGGGAATGTTGAGAACTATATTTTCTCAAAAGTCATCTGTTGGGGATAACTTGCCAAAGACAAGAAGGGATGAAGGAAATAATGGTCAAAGCCCCCTCCTCTCTCTACCATCCCATTTTTTTTCCTCTCTGCTCAGCAAGTGGCTGGAGAAGAAACAGATGAATCATTCTTATAAATCAAAACATTTGACTTGCAGAGAGCTTTTGGAATTAGGCCCAAGGCTGCAGCTTCCTGCCCCTTCTCTATGTAACCTCCGCAATCAGATTGGAAGGCATTATTTGTTTTATCTTAGCATGCCTCATTTCTACCCAATGCCCCACTTACCTACCTTTCAAATTGCCTATCCTGAGAATCAGTTTTCCAATGCCACAGATTTGTAATTGCCACAAGTAGCAAAAGAGAGACTGCAAATAACAGGAGTATCAGGGCCAAACGCTGACGGAGACAAAGGCTCACTGAAGGCACAGTGAAGTGCCAAGATGCTGGACACAGGCAGGAAAAACTGATCCTGGAAAAAGAAAAAAAGCAGCTTTTTAAAGACTGGGATGTAGTCTCAGCCCCTGCCGCTTATCAGTACAATGACTATTAGAAAGCCAAGTGCAGATGTTTCTAATATCCACAGAAAAATCAACGCAGCTCAAAGCTATAAGCTTGGAATAGGAGGAAATCTTCCAAGAAGATTAGGAAATAACATAAAATGTAACAGGAAAAATACGAGCTTCACGGATAGATAAGAACATTAAGGTCTGCAGCACCAGTTCTTTTTGCCATCAGCAGCCCTGAGAAACTTCTTCACCCACTCCCCAGTGGTCTCATGACAGCCATTCTCCCACATGATAGAAGAGGAAGAGAACAAAAGCAGGACCACTTTCAGATGTCCTGGGAAGCCCACTCACAGGGCTTGGACTCTCCCAACTGCCAGCCAAGAGTCATTCCATCAGGCTATGGCAGAAGGAGAGATTAAAATTCTTATAATAGTAAGAATTGGTACCTGAATATTCTTGTTTCCACCCCTGTTTTCTTTTGGGGTCAAGTCTTTTTACATTGGAAGTAAGAGAACAGAGGAGAAGAAGGATTGTATTGATTAGTAAACCTTAAACCTGTCAGCTGAAATATGGGATATCAATCCTTTAAATAAATGGGCAAGACTTCAGTGTTTTCACCTATACTACAATCCTATGCATTACAAGAGTTCCTCCTTTTGTATTAATTGGGGCTTACTTCCATGCATACAACTGCAATCAATGACTTACATCTGCCTCCCTCAACCCAATTCCCTCCAGTGGACTGGACAACAGTTTTCAGAATCCCCACCAGCATACGGATAATAAGAAATTTATTTTGATATATCCATGTAATGCTGCATTATATCATCTCTCTTTCCTGGGCCCTTCCTCAGAGAAGTCTCACCCTACCTCTGTGCCAGAGATGTCTTTTAGAACTGAATACCAAGGAGGAAGCTCTTCTCCCACTTTGCACACCCACGGGAATCATACAGTCACCCTTCTCCTCTGCTTAACTGGCACTGAGTGTGATCCTTGAACCGTCCTGGTTGCTAGCCAGACTGTGCCGTGCCAGTTTTCGAGAACTTGCAGGCACAGAGCAAGCAGAGCCATGGGGGGGCGGGGGTGGAAAAACAAGCATATTTTCTCTGAAACTTCAGGCATAAGATCATTTCCCACTCTAACCTAGCAGCAGCTGTGATACCACCGTTTCTCTCAAACACGCTCAGTCACAGCTCCCAACAGCCGTGCAGTCTGGGGATGATTCAGTTTAACGTATAGGAGGGAGGGAGGGAAGGAGGGAGGGAGGGAGGAAGAAATGTAAGAGGATCACTGGCGAGGCTTCGCATTCCCATCACCTCACCTGGCCATATGGTCACCCCCCTGCCCGGATTCTGTTAGCGTTGTCTACGGTCTCCAGAAGCGAGTTGCATCTCTTTCTCTCCGCAACAGGATCCCGGAGCTTATAAAGAAGAAAGCGAGTAAGAGATCGCCAAGTGAGCCCCGACGCCCCTCTCCCGAAACGGCCACAAGACACGCGGGCCACTTCGCGCCTCCAAACAGAGGCCCCGGGTCTCTCCCACGCTCCCAGGGCATCCCTCCTCACCGGCCCTCACTGGAGGGACTCGCCGCCGCCGCTCTTTTCTCTGCCCGGAGCCTGTCAAGAGATCGCTTTCCAGCCACGTCCCCAGGACGATCGAGCTCGGAAGGGAGAGCCAATGGGGACTAGGATAGGGTTGACGTAGCAAGCCCAATGCGGCTACTTTGAGCAGTTCGGCAGCCATGGCCCCGCCTTCTCACCTTGTATCCAATCAGCTCGCAATTCAGAGGGAATTTTCAGTTCCCGGGACACAATCCCGAAACGTCGTTAAGCAACTCTGGTATCTGAAACGTCACAAGGTCTGGACCAATGCAGGGGCCGGTCTCGGCTGAGGGCGGATGTTCCAGTTTCATGGAATTACGTCACGAGAACATTGCCTAATTCGTGGGCCTGAATACTTTGAAAAGTTCAGCTTGATTGGTTTCCCTGTAAGCCGAAATGTTAGAAGATGGCAACCTCATGGGATTTCCAATGAGCCCGCATTCTACAGCCTTCCCTTGCGACCCACAAAGACACATGCTACCCACGGCAACGTCATTGTTAAAGTCAAACCAACCAGCTTCTCCAAACAAACCACACGCGCCATAGAAAGCTGCGATCCCTTATTACCAGGCTGACTACCAGCCTGACAGGCAGTGTAGCCAATGACTATTTCCTTTCTCCAACGTACAGCGCGTACAACGGAAAGCTGCCCAATGGTGTGAGGATAAAAGAAAAGGTCAAAGAGGCATTGCCAAATATCTTTTCTTGATAGGCGGGGCTCAAGGCCGGCCTTTGCCAATCGACCAATTCACGTTGGCCTAGGGCAGCGCGAATATGGACCGCGACCAATCAGCAGTGCCAGTAGGCGGGATGGACTGAGCGGGAGCCGCAGGACCGAGTGGGGTATCCCGTAACGGACTCGACGGAGGCGCCATGGGGCTGGGGGCGGGCGGCGCGGCGGGGCCCGGTCGGGGGGGCGCGGCGGCGCCG